TGTTCTTGAGAGAAAATCTTGATGCGTGGCGCCATCTTGTGTCGTTGTCGCATAACTGCACGTGGTCTTCTCCGTTTGGTGAAACTACAGCCCCCTGCTGTATGGACATCAAATTCATAGGGTCCAGCTAGACTACAAAATAAAGTAGCTACTAGAATAAAAGAGGATTGAACTTACTTAAAACACTTGTTATTAGCGCAGGCTTTATAAGGATGTCCCAAAATTAATACAGAAATATATCACGGATGAACAACAACATCCATGGACAATTATCAACATTCATGGCTCAGTGTATTTTCATCATTGCATTTCTTGTGTTTGAACTGTTTGATTCTCTGATCTTTGTTGGCGATGTCAGTAACTGTTGTGAAATAGGGCTAGACAAGAACAAATGGAATTGAATTGAAATGAATGTTGAGCCACATTTGCTCGTACTTCTTCCCACTTCCTTTTGAACATGTAAATGAAATGCAAATGTGTGAGTTTTTTTTTTACCCCATTCACATACAAAAATATGCATACAGTTTGTTATTGTCCAGTATAATGTTACATAGTTGTATGGATTTCAGTGAGATTATTTTTGTTGGATTCTATTATTTGTAGAATACAAGTAATTACTAGAAGCACATGTACCACAACAAATGAAGAAAACTCTTGAATACATTTAATTAAATTAAATTGGAAAATGATGCTCATCAAAATAACACAAAAAAGGACAGCCGAGCAGGTTCTGGTGAGGAAAAATCATTTTATTTAGTCAGGGAAATACTCTTGTTATTTGATTATTTATCAGATAGAAAAACACATTTAGCTTTTCAAAATAAAAGCAATGTCTATTTAATTTATTATATTTATGCTTTTTAAAACACACTTAAATAAATATTTGTTCTATCTTTATATCTTTTAATATTTTACAAAAACATACAATGACCACAACACTGATTTAAGGACACTCTAGTTTATATAACAAAACCACCTTTACAGAAGTGATCTGTGCTCACACCACTATGACAAATACACAAAGGGTTTAAAGAACTGCAGGTCCTGAAGAGATTATTCTGCTTTAAGACGAGCGGAACTAAAGGAACAGAAATCCCACTGTGAAATTTGTTCTCGGTTAAGTTAAAAGCAGCGAGAAAGAGATTCTGAATACTGAGTGGTGCTGTGGGCTCTTTTTAATTAAAAATCCATATTTTGGCTGCTGCCCTTGAACTTGTGCCTGAGTTTGTGCTCATGTAAAGTATTTCAGTTCTGAATAGAGGTAAATAACATCCAGATACATCAAGTCAATAGGAAGGCAGATAGTGACTGACATAAGCATGGGAAGTTTGCAGGTCCAAGTCCAGTTTACAGTAAAATAATCTTTCTTTTAAAAACCTTTAGGCGCCAAAGTTAGAGAATTGCCACTTGAAATACCGGTTATTTTCCATACAATTCCTTTTTTAGAATGTTTTGAGAATATTTAATGTACGTCTTGCTTTAGTTTTTGTGAAAATTCTGTTAAAGCCTCTGGTTGGTTAAGAAATAAAATAAAACTTAAACTTAAAACACTGGCTTTTTCTCAATATCATTCAACACAAAAAAGACTGGTGAGTTCCTCGGAAGTTTCAATTCTCCATTCTGCTATTGACGATAAGAAATCTTGGTAGAAATGTGATCCACCACACACGGAGTGAAAATAATAAATTGAATTATTTTACATGGAAAAAAGACACTAAGCTATACCCACATGGAGTATTCATGTGTTTATAGTTTAGTGCTGAAATGGGACCCTTGAACTACCTTTTTGAAAACTCATTCTCCAGGCCTGTTGCTCTTTGAACCTAATTGTAATGGACTTGCAAACCGGAACAGCGGAAAGCCAATACAGTGGTTAGTTTTACTGAAGCTAATGCAACATTGATGGACAGCAACGCACATATGATACAGGTAAACAACAAGTGTGCCTTTTCTGCAACTACAAGTTCCTCTGGGTGGCAGTGGAGTCTGTCTGCGTAAAACTCCTGCATTTACATAAGTTTAGATTGGAGTGTTTGGCAAGATGTGAGGGGGAGATGGGGGGGGGACTGGTTTGGATCAGAGGAGCAGGAAGTAGGGCACTGTGGTATCATCACAGACAACAGCGAAGCCAAGACCCTGTGTTATTAATAGACCAAAGCACAGGTGTTGCCAGTGTATCTATTGCTCACCCCCCATTATAAAGGCCCATAGGTGTATCCAGACAAACCTGAACTGACATTTATCTGAATCACATGCGTTCATATAGAGACAAAAATGTAATGCGTAAAATCTTAGGTTGTATCCAAAAAGCTCTGAGCGTCTCCGACACCATCCAAAAGAAGTGGGTTAATGGAAAGTAGATCAGTCTCAAATATGGAAAATGCATTCAAACCATCATTGGTGACAGGGAGTGGATTTGTTATTACCGTGAATGACCAGAGGGTGGTGCTGTTTTCCCGCTGTTGGTGACGGTTCATTGTTAAAGGGCTCCAAAACATTCAAACAGTCTTCGGAAATCAATACCTTTTGTCTGGTGGCTTGTGCACATGTGTCATTATGTAAATAAATAGTGTGTACAATTACTGAATAAGTTACACTACTTTTAAACCTAATAAAACACACGAAAATGCAGGGTTCTTGAGGCAGAGGCCGCCAAAATGTCACAATAGTAATTATGTTCTCATTGTTTGTCACTTGGTATTGACAACCTTAAAGCTGGAGTACCTAAATTCAGTAATACATGTTAAATATCTGCCAATTAAAAGTAAAATTTCATTAAAAAGTAACATTATATGAACAAATCAGAATCAGACTACAGCATGCTGCCTTTATCTCACTAGAAAACATATTATCTTTTTCATTTTGAAAGAGAAAGCTCTGTGAATCACTATTCGACACTTTTTGCTGGAAGTGCGTTCGAGGAGTAAGGGTGGTCCTCTCTTTTTCACTTTTTCTGTCTGATAAAACTGATCTGAGCATGTGACAGAGGCCAAAAATGCATGTATGTGATAGACCTAAACTGTTTTGAGAAAGAGGAACTACTGTAATCATTTTAGTTTGGGTTAGGGTTTTTTGTTGTTGTTTTAAAGTTAGGTACACCAGCTTTAAAGTCTTAAAAATGTATAAGTTTCTAGCGAATCGATTAATGAACAACAATTGCACTTGTGTGTGTTTAAACAAATCAAAGAGCATTGCGCGGGATTGTTACAGCATCTATTCAATCACTTTTATACGTCTTTTATCCAAATCACAAACGTACCAGTGAAACACCTTGTTCAAAACATTGAGGAGGTATAATCATGTTAGCTTAGTTTTGCCCGGTTTGGTTTCGAATAAAGCAGCATTGCGACGGTACAAAAGCATGTGTAATCCCCGAAACCATTTGAACAAAACTCACAAAATAACACTTCGTAGGTTTCGCAGAAGTATAGAGAACTGACAAGCCAAGCTCAACACGGTCAGTAGCACCATCTGGAATAATTGTTCAAACATTTTCACGCACAAAACTAAAACATGTTTCATTATTGACCGTAACTTGCCGCCTCATTAACTTTCTTAACACTATTATCGCTGCATCAATACAGTGTACTTCATCCGATATTCATCGCTGGACACAGACAAACGCTGTGTATGGGCTGCTAGCATCCTTCAGCCACTTGTGAAGGAATACTTAGCAGGATATTTGATCGCCGGTCATGTACTACAACAAATTAGAGTAGTATCCGTTTGAACGTCTCAGTTTTCTCTCTCGTTTACAGTGCTCCAGTTACTGCTGCCCCTCACTGGATCCAAAACAACGGCCTGTTTGTGGGTGTCCGTCCCTCTCCGTTGACTCAAACATACGCAGTATTGTGCCTTTAAAGAGCTCTAAAAGGTGCTGAGATTGACAAAAAAAAGTCGGTCAGTATTGTAATATATAAGAACAAATGGTTATTATAATTGTGGTGTGGCTTTGCTTCATTGTTTTTAGACAAATTTGATAAAAATAATAATATAGCTGTACAGATACATTCACTTTTCAGACTATTGCTGCCATTTTGCATGTGGGGCTTTTCCGATCAGAGGAAAACTTGAAAGGATATCATATAATTGTCGTGTAACTATAATTTTATCTTTTCTTCAAATGATTTCAAGAAGGCTTTACTTTGATCACATATAGTATAGGCCAGCCATTCCCAAACTCAGTAACACCGAGGCCCCCTTAAAAATCTGACGGGTCTACGTGGCCCCCCCAAAATAATAACCAAGAAGACAACATTAAGAATAGGCTCTTCTGGTTATTTTATTTTGGGGAAATAGCCTCTGCTACAAACATTGTAATACAAAAATTATCACAGTGGATTATTCAAGTCAAATAATGAACACAAATATTTTAATATTACAAACAAAACATTATAAATTTAACATTAAATAATTATATTATTTTTTTATTTTTTTTATGACCTCCCGCGGCCCCCTGCAGTACCCTCGCGGCCCACCAGGGGGCCGCGGACCCCACTTTGGGAGACACTGGTATAGGCTATGTGCGGCATTTTGTGTGTGTGTGTGTGTGTGTGTGCGTGTGTGTTTGTGTGCCTCAAAATCCAATCTTCTGTTGGCTTCTATTTAAAGATTGAAGCTTAAAATCCATCCTTTTTACATTTTACGATAAAGGACAAAGAACAAACTTTGAGGCGTTTCCATCCTTTGACATTTTCAGTCCTGTTCACACGGAAAGAGGCATTGGAATGATGAGGTCCCGTGGGTGAGCCGCCCATTTAACTTAAAAAGGGTCTTGTTTATCTCTAAAGGAATACACCCACAGTGAAAAACACCAGGACATTTAGTTTGGTCAAAAAACATCTGAGCGTCCTTCAAAACTGCCATTTTTTTCTGAAGTACATTCATAAGTAGCAACTGGACAGTCTGTGCCACACCTTAAGGCTTTCTGGACTAAATCTCAACTTGTTTTATACATTTTTTTCTTCTACATTGTTCTTTTATCGCGACGGTGTCTTTCATCAGATTCGCCCGTTCCCGTAAGTGCTGCTCCGGCGCCTGGACTGTGAGTAGGAGGAGTAGTGGAGCTCGGCGGTGGAGACGGAGGAATTGGATGAAGCCGAGGAGGAGGTGAGGCCACAGGCTTCACAGGCCAAGGCCAGCTGCCTCAGGGCGTCCAGAGAGTCCATCTTTGCCCCACGCAGCAGATCACACTGACCCTGGCCACACACAGGGGGTACATGTCAGTGCGCACCGGGCACATTCAAGCTGGGGAACCTACAATTCTTTTTTTCCAGAATAATTAATTTTGTTTGTTCCAACAGGAAGGTTCTTGTAAAAGTAAAACGTTGTGAACAAATCTGACTATAGCCATCTTTATCTCTTTAGACAAACATGTGTGAGTCACTATTTGACGGCTTTGGCTGAGAGCTGATAAAAGCTGATCTAAAGATGTGACAGAGGCCAGAAAATACATTCAAGTGAAACAACTGGTGATCAAACCAAAGTGTTTGGAGAGCTAGTAGGAATACATGGACTGCATTACATGGTAAATGCTTTAGGACTTTGAAAGTTAGGTACCCCAGCTTTAAGAAAACATAGTGAATGTATATTATTTTGAGCAAAAGCGGTTTTAGGGAGAATAAGAAGAAATGCAATTGGGTGGTTTTTTTGGAGGTTTCTTACACATTAAACCCGTCACGTATGTTTTTATTATTGCAAATACTAATGCATACATTCACATTTTATGAAACGCTTTTATTTATTTATTTATTACTGATTTTTGGACTTAAATTTGGATTTTGATAAGAACCACAGTGAACTATCCACTCCCTAAGTTGTTATTCTTCACATTTACTTTACATCATCCACTTAATTGTTCCTGTAAATGTCTGTACTGTTGTCAAAAACAGAATGATCTGTTGTATAAGACAGAAAGCCTATTAGTAACATATTTTAGAATCAAAGCCTGTTCAGTGTATTTCCTACATTCTTGAGGAGATACCTTGAGCACTGTGATGTTCCAGGTGAAGCTCTCCACAGCCTTATTCAACTTGCGTCCCTTTAATCCGTCTTTCTCCCCGAGACGAGGAAGATCTTCGTGGAAGTCCATTCCTGCAAATATAAATTCAATAGAAATGTGTTACACAAAGAAAACGTAAGAGAGGTGTGTTTTGAGGGGTATAAGTTGAAACAAATATTCACAAAGCACTGCATCCTTTATATTGACTCTATAAAGCAACACACACACTACAACGTGCCCTCTCTCTCTCTCTCTCTCTCTTTCTTACACAAGACACACATCTCCTGTTTAGTCCAAAATGTCATTCCCCCACTTATGGCGCTGTTGTCGCCATGACGCAGGGACCATGGGGTCAGTGAGACTCACCTTCTTTCTGAACCTGAGCCACTCTGTCCTGGAGACTGTCCGCGCCTTCAATCAGCTGCTTCTGAGCCGCGATCATCTGCATATAAAACAAGGGTTCTCATTGACATTTCATTTTTCTATTATTGAGTGAGAAGACAATAAATGGTCTTCATCACATCCATAAGGTTGCTCCCAAATAAGAAATTAAAAACATTAAAAACCAAAGATGAATAATACAATTTTGAATGGTTTGACATAGGTATAAGAAAGACCACATTAATTATGAGTAATTCTCTGGTGATTCTGTTTGATAAAAGTAACTCAACATAAAATTATCTTTATTCATCCACAAAGGTAAATATGTAGACAAACAATTAAAATAGTGACGTTGTTAGCATGCAACTTGAAATGATGGATTCACAGAGACAGCAGAGACTACTGAGACAGTTTGGTGGTGACTGTGCGATGACTAAGCTCTGAGTGTTCACAGGGATCACACTGTCTCCACACTGACACAGGCTCAGAGCTGCTGCTGGGTCAAACACAGAAGTGTATGAGCAGCAGCAGCTGATGGAGGAGGAGGAGGAGGAGGAAACCCAGGACAGCAGTGTGGGAGTCCTTTTATGTATGTTAACGAGGAGTTATACTTTAGTCTGAATGTGGATCTGCGTAGGCGCCGGAAGAACATGCAACTGTCAATATGAGCACAGTATGGCATGATAACTGCAGTTCTAATTTATGTAAGAAATACGTTCCTGGAATACACATTCAATCTGAAATGATGTAATTTCCAAAAATAGCTATATAATATTATACTTGCTTTGTATTATAACAATTGTAGAGATTTTTTGTTCTCATTATGCTAACGATAGAGATCATATACTTGTTTCTTCTTCATGCTGGAGTTAGAGATTTATATTTGATTTTATTTAATATAGTGTTATTGTTCATTTATCTTGTGCTGCGTGCTCCTCATTCCTACTGTTCTGTAACTGGTGATGAAACACTGACATTTCGCCACAGTGGGACGAATAAAGGATCTCTTAATCTTTATCTCAAAACTGACAGAAGACATCACATGATTGCAGAAAACACTTCTGTGACTGACCGTATCGTAGGCAGACAGCAGCTTCTTGGTGGGCTCGGTGAGGTTGGTCTGGGGTTCTAGACAGGGGTATCCCTCCCTCAGCACCATGCACGCCCCCATGGTGCCCTCAGAGGTCTGTAGCCGAGTGGACAGACTCTGAATGCATTGCTTCAGTTTGGCCACTGGAGGGAGCCCACACTGCTCTTTGAAACTGGCTGTGGCGCTCTAGAAATAGACAGAAATAAATAGTGCTGGATCAGATGTACATTTGTGGATGAAGTCAAAAAGGGTGACATGTGCAGGCGGCGCTCTCGTCTGCTGTCTTTCTGCTGAATTAAATCAATATGGCAGCCAGTGCCGCTTTTAATCCACTGACATGAGACTTAAGCGCATTTGGCGAGAGACGAGAGACAATATACCTCACATCTGAACACGGTTTTCTCTCTGGGGCAGACACGGGCACAGCAACTGACTCATGCTCTTTTGGATAGTGTTATTTGCAGAGATTCAGATATGAATAAAATTGAAATACACAGTGATCAGTCTGTCCTGCTGTACGCTAATGTGTGCCACTCGGGACATCTGGAGCAGCCATAATGGAGTTCCACCTGTGGGAACAACATGTGTTTAAAAGGCTTTAAGCAATGGGCACAATGAATCATCAGTGGGGCAGATGAGCCCACAGCTGGACCACAGGGAGGAAGGGAGGAGCAGATCCACTGGAAAAAGACGAACACATGGGGGCAGATGATACAGTTTGTGAATGGAAAATGCTACTCTGCAATGGATCTACACATTTTTATATTTAGGTTGGATGACAGTAAACACACATAGTAGTTTGATAACAATCTGCATGAATAGTAAAATAATTATTAATAATGATTTAATCAAAGTCCTTTTAAAGTAGGAAACATAAAATATTTGTAAATGTAGGTGAATATATTAAAGCCTTTCATATCATTAAACATTCCTTTTCTATTTAAAACAAGCATGTGACGTCACTCGCCCAATCACAAGTTACATCTGTGGAGAGGCAAGTATTTTCCTCACTGTAAATACTATTTTTAAGCTCTATAATCATTCATGTTTGAGGAAAGTACATGTTTAAGCCAAACTGAGCGACATTTCAAGCAAAGCAATATATCCATCGCAAGAAGCAGGTATTGGAGCACTACACAAAAACTGGGTCACCACCAGGACAGTCGAGGAAACCCAATGCAGTTTACATTTTCACAACATTTAAACTACAGCAAACAATAAATAGATCACCAATATCTGCATAACTTCAATGCGCCACAGTGACATGTCGACGCAGTAAACAGCAGATTCTGATTTGCATATTTGTGTTTGTTTATAAAGAGTGGTTGATTCATGCACATCGCAACTATCCAGGATTGTTGATGCATGAATGAATCAAATTATAGCTTTGAGTGAGGAAAATGGTGGCAGAACACCTTTGCACCACAGTTAAAACCATAAATATACCAAATATTTGTTGCATCGGTCATGATAAGATTGTAAGATTGTCCTTGTAAATGCATGCTATAATAAAACATATCTAAAAGCTAATAGTGTATGAATGAAAAGCTAGGAAAAGAAATGAGCAACTATCATGCATGAAACCCATAGAACCATGAATGCATCTTGGAGGACCACTTCCATAGCGGGACTGGCCCCATCACTGTCTGCATCCTTGGGTTTCCAGGCAACGAAGCGGAGCAACACCATCAATCTCACAACATGAGTCTCCTGCTGCATTTGTCCAGAGCAATCATAGGTCATCTAGATTCAAATATAATGGAATTTGTAGCTGCCAGGGCCAAGCATTCAAATGAAGCAAAAGCAAAAAATATGCTTTTATTACTAGTTAAAGAGCGCTGTCAGTATTAAAAGCTAAACTTGTGGGTGTTGCATGAACCAGCGTTTATAGTTGTTTTATAATCCACCTCCATTTTTTGTGCTCTCTGATGTCTTCTTCCAGAGTTGGCTACACCTTTATCTGAACAACGGAATGAGAAATATGTGTCTTACATTAAAAAAACAATGTTTGTGCAAATGGGCACCAAGACTCCAGTTGTGTAGCATTCATATCACATCTTTTAGTCCTGATTTAAACTTGTGAATGTTAGGTCTCGCCTGTGATATTTCAAGAATGACTTTTATTTCAAATCCACAATCATTGTTTTCATGACTGTATTAAATTATGATTATGCCTTTTTTCTGTGCAAGATTATTTAGAGAAAGGCTGATCTGGGTCAAATGTACACAATAAAATCCAACATATAACATTGACCCGATTACATAGTTTGTAGATTTAGTGGTGATTGTTTTTTGTTGTTGATGCAAACAGAGTAATAATAGAATCAGAATCATGAAGTGTTACCTGTGCCTCCTCCCGCAGATCGGCGGCCTCCTTGAGAAGGCTGCCGGCTGGTTTGAAGGCCTCGTCCAGGACCTTGATGCCCGTGTGCCTGAGCGTGACGTACTCCCTCCCTCTGCGGGCCACTCTCCTCACAGACAGCCCCCTGCGCTGCGCCTTGCCCCCTCCACGCCTGTTTGTGACGGCCACATGCACAAACAGACTGCTGTGAGGCAACGGTTCTCCCACCAAACCCAGCAGCGGCACGTTACGGTATCCAGGCTGAAGGCACTCAAAGGCCACCGTGTACTGGCCAATGAAGTCGTCCCCGATGTAATCATCGTCCAATACGACAAAACGCAGTAAGGCAAGCTCTGGCATGTTCACCTGGAAACAAGAGATCTGTTTTAGCATTCTGGTATAGTGTTCACAGTAACTGCCATGTGCAAAGTGAAGACAACCACAACGCTTGCAACTTATATGGGCTCAATTGTGCAGATAATAAGGATGCAAATAAAGATTCTACATGTCAATGTGTGTCAAAGAGCAGATCAGATGAATCTATTATTCATATTTGCTACTCATAATGTACATAGCAAAGCAATCCAATGACACATTATTTCTAGAAAAAAGATTAAAAAGTTACACACTTTTTTCCATCCATTTTCCTTCACTAGTATCTGGGGCTGCGTCACAGGGTTGGTGGTCCCCCAGACACTTCCTCCCAGGCAACCACCCTTTGAGAAATGCCTGAGCACCCCTCCCGGAATTATATAGGTGGCATCCAACACAGAAAAAACTGCTGGCATCCTTCAACATGAAGGAGCCACGGCTCTACTCTGAGCCCCTCCCTGTTCTCCTCACCCAGGAGACGAAACTCATTCTGGCCCCTTTCAAACTAATTCTCCTCCATATTTACTGCACCACTCCTCACACCAGGCACAACAAGGGGCTCGTTTGGCCTCATTATCTGAGCTTTAGAGGTTTACCCCGTGTCACCTGCAGTGGTGCCAGTGTTCCAACCGCTTGTGTTCCTCTTAATAGGACCGTCAGGTCCTATTAAGAGGAAAGATGCCCTTGATTAAATGTTTACTGCTGCCAGCGTGATCAATTAGTCAAAAGATTCAGTTAATAACAGTGTAGAGTGTCACTCACAGAGCCGCTGGATGATGAGATGGAAGATAACGGAAAGATATCATTGCAGCTCACACCTTGTTTAATATTGAGATGAACAGTTGCTCATAAAACACACCGAGTGGGAAGACAAATGGTCTTTGTTTCATAATTCACTTACAAATCACACATCATCAATTATTCTCACAGTATCCTCATTAATTTACATGTGACTGTAGCAACTAATCATACATTATGCAGTTAATGTAATTTACATTTCTGACCCCAAACGTTGGAAACCTCATGTTTATTGTTATTCAGAGGAATCTTGTCAGGGGGACATGCAATAAAATAAGCTCAAGCCAAATCAGTATGCAAATCTATGAACTGTAGCCGGCTATTGTCCGAGCCAGGATGCACATGCATGTTACTGTACATGAATTATGTTTTGTGTAATAGAAGGCTGATCAGAAAATTATTATCAGAACATTTATTTTAAAAAAACAATGCAAAGTGGGGTTTGCAAAAGTCAGAAAGGCTTGCCTTTATACAGAATGATTTTATTTATATTTTAGTTTTAGACACATGGACATGTGGATGTTGTAAACCATTGTATAAAAAGTCTTTGGGGAAATTGATCTGATGTCATAGGTAAACATAGAGTGTTTTGCTGTCTCCATGCTAAATTTGCTTCATTCATTTTCCCATCCACTCTGACACTCATCGCTGTCCCTGCTGAAGAAAAGCAGCATGCTGCTGCCATCATCAGGTTTGACAGTGTGGAGAGTGTGAGTGAATGATTCCCATTTCAACACTGACTTTCCATTTGGCACTCGTCTCTAAAGACAATAATTGTGTAGTGTAAGTATGACTAGTATTTGCCTCATGTACAGATTATTTCAGATGTGGATGTCTTCAGCTCTTCCAGATTTTCTACAGGACTCTTTTCTATATTTGTGACCAGCGGTGTCCTTGTGGGGATGTTACTTTGAGAAGATGGTCATGTTGTGGTAGGTTTGCAGTTGTGCCATATTGGTTCCATTCCCAGATAATGGATTAAACAGTGCTCTGTGAGATGTCAGAAACATAAGAACTCTAGCCCACTGAGGCCATCACATACACTGTGTAATTACACTGAGATGAGATTACACTCAGGTGGACTCTTCTTGATACTGTTGTTAGGTCGACAATATGTCTGTAGATAAATTAGTGGTGGAAAAAAACATAATGGTATTTCACAAACAACCTACGTTTGAGGTAGTGACAAAGTTTGCAAAGTGTTATAAATATAAAGCATTACAGATTCTACACACCTCAGATGGGCTGCTGCTTATAGATTACACTTTTTCACTTATGTAATTATTTGAAAGTTAATTATCTTTATACAAGCTAAAAACAGAAAGTAATTTCCGTCTCCCAGCTGGACGTGTGCGTGCTTATGTTGAATGCTTCCATGGCCATATGAAGTCCTGGGGCTGCCAGGAAATCAGCTAAAGCAGCGTGGCTCGGATCTATTCTCACGCATATTGAGAATTTTCAGTTTGCATTCGCCTGCATATGCTCCACACATCTGCTTAGAGTTAAAGAGAACAACAAGTGGAGCACAACAGCATTACTGTACTACTCCTGTTAAAAATAAATTACATATTTGAGTCTGAACAGCACTCAGTTTATGAGAAAAAATGTATTTGCAGCAGTGGCACTACTCTAAAATGAAACTAAACCAACAAAACAATTCAGTTTGGTTCATGGTTGAGTGGACTAACAGAACTAATTATTTGGAAATATAGTATTTAGGTGAAGGTTGTAAGAATAGCACACACTTGTCTCAGCCTGGTTCTGATTTCTGAGCTGAAAGAGACAATAGAATGCAGAAAATAAGTTCATGCTAAATTAATTACTTAATAATTAACAATCTGTCCTTCAAAACCTTTATTTACCCGTTTCCCCATAATCCTACAGTACATCAGTACATGCCAGTCTGACCTGAGTTCATCTCCAAAAACATGTAGCCCTCAAGTTCAATGTTTAAGTCCTGTAGTTAACACTATCAGCCCTTTATTTTTGTAAATGCAGAGAATAAAAAATACACAATGTTTCTGTAGTCTGCTGAATGTAACTTGTGATGGCTGAGGAAATGTCTCCATATCTGATGAAACCCTCAGATGGCCTTTAAGCGCGGGACTGGAGACATGCAAAGAACATTACGACTGTATCTGCAAACTTGTCAGACACAGTGATACTGAGAAGTGCCATGCCTGGTTGTTCAAGCACACAGCTCGCACAAATGTTCTCTCTCAAGTCTATTGTATCTCAACAGGTTTTTTTTTTACTTAATTGTGATTACACATAAAAACAGAAAATTAACATTGTCCTGAGACTGGGCTTCGTAAATCATTCACTCATAAAAAAAGTAAAATAAAAGAAGGCCTATGCTTACGTCCTATTTAAGAAAGGTAATCAGAGGACCCCATCTTCTTTCAAAGAGGTGGTTCTTAAGTTGCAGTTGTTGTGCTGCAACCATTCCATCAAATAAACCTGTCTTGTCCTTTGTATCCATTGTGTAATCATAGGCGGCTCAGGTTTTAACCAACAAGTTGTTATTATTTTCCTTGCCATCATTAAGAGTAGATGAAGAAGAAATCTTTGGTCAGGGGTAAGATGGTCTGGAAAAATGTCCAATAAAAATATTTGGGAGTCCAAAGAAATGCTCACTTTTAGTTAATTTTCCAAAACGTCCTTAATGTTCCTCCAAAAGTGATGTATTTTGGGACAATCCCAGAATATGTGAGTCTGATCTCCGACAACTCCACAGTTTCTCAAGCATTTGTCACGTCTGTTACTCTTGGTGAGGAAAGATTTTAACGGAGTCCTAAAAAATCTGGTTTTCATCTTCCAATCAAACTCCTTCCAGACCTGACTACTCACACCCTTATGACAACCAGAACAAATGTCAGCCCAGACATCATCATCCAAGGTAACATTCAACTCCTTTTCCCATTGCTGTTTTATGTGATGTGTGTTATCTGACATGTCCATAAGCATGATCTCAACAGGTTTGAGCAGGTAATGACATCAGGCTCCAGGCACATGCTTCATTCTTAAAAGGTAATGAAAAAAGGCCAACTGTAGCTTTCTCTTCGTGTGACTTCTGTACCTGCCAGTGTTACATCCAGCTATTTACAGTAAATCATTGCCCAACACAGATAAGTCAAAAATTAATCAGATTTTAGGTTCGGGAACAGTCTGGTGTTTTTGCGACTGGTGTAAAATGTTACAGCCGATACAACAAAACCAACAGTTGTCTATGGTTTCCCTTAAAGATGCAGTCAGTGATTATTTCCAGTTTTCACACAAAATTGGAATTGACCAGATGCCTACAGTCTCCAAAAATTAATAACAAATATTTTGGAGCGGACCGATAAAAATAAACCAATGGGACTCGTTCATCCCCAACAAACCAATGGGATGCGATTACCTCCTTCACCCTCTTCCTGTTTCTCGCAAATGTGCGCACCTGAGTGATCGGATTATTTTATAAAACCTAAAATGAATGAACAGAAAATGCCAAGTTCACTTTTGCCACCCACTCTCCCTGTTGTGACAAAGAAAAGAAAATGCTGGATGTTTGGTTTGGTGGAGAGGCGAGGGGAGGGGGGAGTGGTTTCCAGTTGGTGCTACAGCTTAGCTAACAAAATCGCTAACTGCATATTTAATGTCACACATTCATTTGAGTGACACATACTAATGAAATTCATTCAAAGGCTGACAAATAAAAGATGCAAGATTTCTAATACACATTGTGATATTTCTTTTGCAGCTGAGCCACAATGGGCACAATGACTAATAAATGTGTTTGGGCTGGCAAGAGAGTGAGAAAAGACTTGTCAAGATAATTCTGTTGAAAAGATAGATGTTAGTGAGGCTGACGAGCATGGGCTCGGCTTTGTCAAAGTCAGGGAGATTAAATGCTTATTTTCTATGTATAATTGTAATGTTACTTATGATTTTATGCATGTAGCTGAGCCAATGCCCCTGTGTTTTTGTTATACAGCAAAGCTCTCTGCTGAAATACATCTTGGATGATTTTGGTAGCACCTATTATAAATGAATATAGAGTTATTATGTGAAAAGCATTTGTTAGGTTATTTGCCTTATTCATTAAACTGAGAGCTAGAGCAAGAGTGACATTAAATAGCAGCTTTATTGTAAGAAAATATAGTGCACTTTATTTACTGTATTCTTTATTCCATGTGATTTTGCACCTGGATAGATAACCACAAAATTGTGTAAAATATGAAAATCATTCAGTGGGAGGACAGCTAAAGAAAAATGCCAAAGGAAAGATTTGAGCCTTATCTGTCTTGTCTGTCACAGTCAGAGGTATTGTCACCTCACAAAGAATACAATTCCCTGTTTATTCCACATCTGCTAACTGCGGCTGACACACTACCACAGACTGAATCTGTAAGTAAATGTGTGTCTCCCCAGATGTGTCCTGTGGGTCACACGGGTGTAATCCATCATCTCTACAGCGTAGTGCTCTTATCCACTCACCACTGACTCGCTCTGTCACACCCAAGACAGATGAGCTCCTACCCATGCCTCCATATATCCTCAAACAGCAACACCAGAACGTTGATAAAGACAAATACAGCCATTAGAACGAAACAAAACCACTGTTATTTTTAATGCGGTCTTTCAGTAAGAAAACCTGTAAATTGTTTATTATATTTAGCTGCAATTTCAGTTCATAATCACTCGCCTCCTGTTCACATCATTTAAAGCCAAATGTTCTTTCAATAACAAGATATTTTGGAATATTGTTTTTCTAAAGGATGCGTGTCAGTCTTCATGCGCACAAATGAAAACCATGTCATAGCAGCCGTGGCGCTCGGTCAGCATGGCTCATCTGTGTGTCCAGTACACAGCTCTGATTCAGAAAAGACAGCTCAGTCAGGGATATAATGCAGCAGGGCCTTTCAGTCTGACCCTTAAAAACAAATTTCAAGTACAGAAACAAGAAGAAAGCACAGTTTCTGCAGTCATGTAACGCTGTGTTCTTTTTACTTTTCTTTATTATCTTTTAAAGATATCGGTAAATATTAAAATTTACAAATATGATTGAAAAACTGTACACCCACAGATTATTGTGAAGAATATGTTCTAGCTGGTAAACAGGATTATTATGTGGAGCTGTCATGCAGTTATGTAAAAGGTTTACCCACTCATTGATTAATGTATTTGCAGTAAATGCATAGTTATAATACCCACAAAATTAGCACAAAATGTAGCAATTCAATCCAATCCAATCTTATTTTGTAAATTTGTAGATTACATTATAAACAACAACATCCTTATTTAATATTTTAAATTCTGCAAAATTCACACTTTCATAGAGAAAAAGACTATGAAACTGTGTCTCTAGTTATATTGAAGGTTGTATGGGAAAGTGCAGTCCTCGCTCACCTGGAACTCAAAGGTCTCGTCAAACAGTGGGTCGTCTTGGTTTTGAGCCGCGGTGCGTGTCCTTTGTTCGGCACAGTCTGCCGGAACCCCGTGAAGCTCCAGGACCACATAAGGATCTATGACCTCCCCCTTCGCACCCGACCCCTGGGGCTTAGGGAGGTTATGGGCACTAATAACCTGTACATCAGAATGTCACACATGTATCACAGTGAAATGGAAAGAATTATGTAATTATGTAGAATATCGGCTGAACCTTAATGCGGAGCGTCTGAGGCGGCACTCCAGGGACACAGCCTTGTGTGTGGGCACTGAAGTACGACACTTCATCTCTCATCACAGCAGGTCTGAGGACAAACCCACAGCCTCCATTCTGAGAGAAGCGTCCGCGGTGAAGGTCCAGCATGGCACCAGGCGTCTGCTGGTTTAAGGCCACCAGCTGCACCCCACCCTTCCAGTAGCCCTGGGGGTTGGGGTTACTGGAGTCTAGCCGCACAGAGCTGGGGCGCACTCTGGTCAGGGTGCGTTTAGTGAACATGACCAGGTCCTCTGGGCTCTCGCTGCTCAGACGCCCGGCCTCACCTTCACCCAGAGAGCACAGAGTCCAGCACGTAGGCTCAGGGGGCAGTGGCGTGCCAGGAGAGCAGGGGCTGCTGGGTGGCGACTGCTGCTGTGCAAGTTTAAAAGTGGCTCTCTGAGCATAGAAGCTACGACTGCCTGTCCGAACAATGCTCATCAGGTCCGAGAGTTCTTTATGCAACCGTAGTTTTCGAGGCTGAGAAGGAGGAGGCACAACCAGGACCACGCCAAGTTCCTCTTCGCCTGGGATGGTCATTCTGCGGCCGGCTAAAGGCCCGCCTCCTCCTATTTCCTCATCCTCCTCTGACACGTCTCCATCTGAGTCTTCCAGCTCTGAGGGAAGCTTCTTTCCTACAATGAGAATACGTCCCTTCAGCTGCTCAGGAGAGGGCAAAGTGATGGGCCGTCCTCCCAGAGTGACAGGGAGGACCTCTGGGGTGTACAAACGAGTCCCAAACACTTTTTTAAGGTGCTGAGCTATGACCCGCTGCTGGGGCGGCGAACAGCGATGGCATAGATAAATAAGTAGGGGATACTGAGACGTCAGAAAGGCATATTTGTTGACCACCTCCAAGGCAGAGCGGATAGTGACCGGGGCGTGTTGATGGTGATGGTGGTGATGATGGCGAGGGATGTCTGGCCCAAAGTCGACCCCGAGAAGGGGCTCCCCTTCTGGGCCATCTGAGATACCCAGCTCCAGGCAACGACATCCAGCCTGTAAGGCCTTTATAAGTCCTCCAAGATCAGCCCTGCCATGCACCTGGTCATCCAGGAGGTAGGAGCGGTATGATGTGCTGTGACAAGGGACAGACAAGCGGGTTAATGCTATAGTAATCAGGCCCTGAAATCCAGGGGCCAAAGTGAGAGCACACGCTAACAAACAGTTACAGTTGTACACCATGTGGGAGTGTGTCTTATAAAATACAATTGGAATAATGTACATATTAATAATGTGCATATAAATATATTTTTTTGCGTTTTTAAAGTTTCATCCTTTCAGGTGCGTAAGAGTGCGCATAGTGCTTATACAGTGTTAAATCATGGAATTGCTTATTAAAACTCACCTGATATAGTAGTGTGACAGAGGCATGCTCATGTCCTGGCAGACCCCCTGGTGTTCAGGGTCCAGTAGTTGACACTCGGGTGACTGGAGATACCTGGCAAAGCCATCTATTCCCATCAGCCCCCTCTCCTTGCCCTGTGCGGAGGGCTCATATTGCCTCAGCAGCTCCCAGCAGCCCTCAGTGGTGGCCAGAGACAAGCCCTGCTCAGACTCTAGGAACAGTCTCAGATCCTGGGGGTCCAAACATTCACGGTCCTTAGACAGTTGGACTAACAGGAAGTACACATCAGGGCGTGTGCACAGCTCGTAGAAGGCTTCCTGAAACTCCTCACGCGTCACATGGGATGTCAGCTTCTCTTTACTCCGCTGGATTTCTTTAAAACGCAAGCGCACCTTTCAAAGAGACAACAAAAACAACACATCAGATATGATACATGTAAGGTCAACTTGAGTCCAACCACAAGTCGTATCTTGGCTTAGATCTGTCAGCAAATTCACCAACAATTCAACTGTTTGTATTTTCATGGCATCATAAGACTTAGCCGATATACCTGTTCTTTGGATGAAATAATAAGCAGATTTTTGTTCAAATTATGTACAATTAGGGAACACGTGACACTCGAACTGACAAATGAACTGTTCAACTACTTCAATCACAATGGCCGAAGCAAATGAGGAGAAAATAGAGCACTCTCAGCACGATGAACTCATGATCACCCGCCGATTTCACCAGAACTTTAATTATGCAAATCTAAGGCACTTGACAAGCTGCAGCCAGCGATGATGAGAGCTTTTTTGCTGAAGCCTGGGTTCAACTCTTTGTTATATAAAAGTTCCCAATTCTGACATTATTTAATTTTGGATTCTAAGCTTATTAAATATGTTCGGCAAGTAAAAGAAGTAATTTGAAATATAAAGCACAGGCATATCTTTTGCCGAGCAAGAGTTCTTCTTATTGGTTTCTATTCACTCATTATACAATTTCATTCTAACATAGAATTAAATTGTATATTAGACATTTCCTATGAAAGATGTGGTAGTTGCATAGGAAATGTGGTCTTCTCCATCTGGTCCATTCATTTACCAGTGACAGTAAAATGAGATATGGATATAAGTCGCCTAATCAAAAGTATGCTTAGATGAATTGTGGTTGCAAAACCCCTTGTTGCATAATGGCATATTCTATTCAGTTTTAATGTTGTTGTAAAGTGAATTCATTTCTGAAAGTCATCACGCTCCCCATAGACCAGTGCTTCTCAAATAGTGAGGCCCACCCCCCTGGGGGCGTGGTGTGATGCCTGGGGGGGCGCGTGTGACCCTGTGCTACATGCTTTGTTTGTCGTACTTGAATTAAGTCCCCCGTGTCTCCTCCTGAAGCCCTGAAGCTAAAACTCACTAAATTAAAGCTGGGGTACCTAAATTTTCCTTGCATTCATACTGTATGTTACAGTAGTAGTGACCAAACGTAAAATAATAACTAATACACAACAAACCACAATAGAAGTCTTGTTCTTTATGTTGTTTTTTGCATAATTCAGAACTAACCCTGTCAGTCAATATTTAACTTTTTGGGCTGAGAGTGGATTTTATGAGCCGATCAAAATATGTAAAGATAGGGGGCACGAAATGTTTACTTCGACCTAAGGGGGGCCTGGCAGAAAATAATTGAGATGCACTGCCATAGACCAATGGCTCATTTTTGCCTTTCCTCTGTTGCATTTGTGTTGTTTGATTTTTCTAATCTGTTGTTGACAAATCAACAATTTTGCAAAATCTTCAGAGTCAACTGCTGTGATTCAGGATTATACAAAAATAAATGTAATTGAAATCACAAGAAATCACTGCAGTCATGTGTTCAGTGTGGACAGATGCTGGGATTGTTACCTTTGCCTCTTTCATTCCAGGGCACAGTTTACAGATGGTTGACACCGCCACGTCCTCAGACACGATGCCGTATCCGTCTTCATCCACGGCTGCGAACTCAGTGGACAGCCACTCGCTCCGCATCTTACTGCCCAGACTTCCCTCCACCGAGAGGCTTCCCTCAGCCAGTGTTCCCGTGCACACTCCCCCGGACGCCCCGATGACTGAGGGGTGAGCCAATAGGTAGCGAAGGCCTGTTACCCAGATGTTGGCCACATCTGCTGACAGCGCGACCAGGTCCAGCGACTGCAGAGGGACAGGCAAAGGATTACAGAGCAGATGGACAAAAACAATGGCTAGAGTGAGGATTAAGATGTTAAAATGAACAAAAATATAAAGACCGTGTAAAGATGTCAGCGGTTATGTAAGTGTGATTTTCATGGAGGGATTTAAAAACAAAAATAAGCCAGACCGTATTTTGGAAATAAATAAATAGAAAAACTATATTTGGACCAATTCTTGTTTGTTTGAAAAGTACATCAGCAAACAGCCAGAATGGTCCCAAAGGGCTTTGAAACAACAATAAAAGTGAGAATAATATCAAAACCACCTTTATTATGTGCAGAAGTTGAAATCAATTTAAGATAATTAACCAAAAACATTTTGAATTATGCCAAAGGCCGGACATCTTACCGTGAGCATTTCCACAGATACAGTTTGACCTACAACTAAGTTATAGTGAAAGTTGCAAACCCTCCATCAACATTTTTTACGTAGCTCACATGAAACATTTGAGAAAAAGAAAAATATGTACTATTATGTATGTATCTCAGATTACAGACCATTTATGGACATCAGGACTGGGTCTCATACCCACACTGTAGTGCGCACAGTTGAGGGGTCATGTCTTTTTAGGCCTGATTAAGATTAAGAGATCCTTTATTTATCCGACAGTGGGGAAATTCTAGATTTGCATCACAAGTTACATAGGAATGAAGAGCACACAGCACAAGATAAGTGAATATTTTGTATTGCACAACTCTACATTTAAAAAGGAATCAGAATAAAATCTCTATATTTAGCTCAATAAACACGCAAAGTGAATCAGAATACAATCTCTAACTTCCTCTTACCTGGTAGTCATCCCCGTGTATGATGGAGAAGGCCGCCTCTTCTGCCAGGTGCTCGGACAGCGGCCCGTTGTGGATAAAGGTCTCCGTGCTCTTGCCGGTGCGCACCTCCCTGATGCTGCACACGTCCAGCCGGGCCCGGTCCCCGTCCTTCTTGGAGGGCTCCCAGCGCAGACACGTGAGGTCCGGCTCCAGAGTGTAGAAGCGACAGTAGACCCTGGAGTTGGGCCGAATCTTCTTCAGCTCACAGCCGCCCTGCATAAAGGCCAAGCAGTCCGCCGCGCTGCTCACCTGAGGGCCCAGAGGAAAGAGCAGTTTGTCAAAATATCCACATGCTCCAGGTCATGGGTCAAGTTTACCTTCTTCTCAGAGGGCATGCTGCTAAAGGAGACCGTCTTCTTCCTGCCGCCTCCAACTTTCTGCACCGAGGGATCCTGAAAACACAGAACAGCATTTTCTGCTTAGTGATTGCTATTAATACATCAGAGACGTTGCCTTAAGAATCAAAACAGTTCATGGAGGGGCCATAGCAGATCAGATGTGCTAAACCTCAATAACACAGGTTAGATTGGTGGCTAGATTCCTTCTTTCGCTTGTTCTGGCCTAAAACACACTTTTCATTGGGTAAACTGTTCCATAAATGTGTGTGAATATTTGGTGGTGGTCGGAGGGGCCGATGGCACATACTGGTAGCCTCGCTTCTGTCAGTGTGCCCCAGGGCAGCTGTGGCTACAGTAGTAGTTTATCACCACCGTGTATGGAGTGAAAGAATAATGACATGTAAAGCGTCTTTGAGTCTCCATAAAAGCGTTATATAAGACCGATGCATTAATATCATTATTAGAAATAACTATTAACTTTTGAAATGAGCATCTTCAGCAGAGAGCTCACACAGTGGGTAAGATCGAGACAGAGTTGTTCTCGAATTTAATTTTGACTTGTATGAATTGTATTTTATCTTCTTTAATGTAAAATCACCCGTGGACTTGTGTTTAAAACTAGCAAATGTGCTGTAACACTGACAACAATTCATCTGGTTATTGTTTTGTCCGTATGAAATAAATAAATGAATAAATAACAACATTATGACATCTCACTTGTATTCCCTGCAGAAAATGCAATAATTTGATCATTATTCTCACTGGAACTTTAGTGCACACAATCCCCCATCATGTGTCATTAATTTGTTAATAATGAATCAGAGGACTCTCCTTAAAGAGATTGTTTTCCCGTGTTGGGCACTGCCAAAAAGACTGTTGAAAGTTCCATGTGAAATACTGTACGTTTGTGTAAAAAGACTTGCATGGGATTTAGTATCAGAGATTTAGTTTCAACCCAAGTTTGATATGGTTTTGATATTTCCAAATTTGGGCAATTTTGCACATGTCCTACGGTTTATTCAACTCAGTCTAATTTGGCTAAAGACCATGACTTTCATAACATTGACTACACTCAGTTGTTTGTGTGAGAACTGAACTCAAAGAGATCTCAGAATTCAAATGAAAGAATTGAAAGGACAGAAATGTTAAGCCCAGTAACTTTTCTTGCATAATATCTTTTGAGCTAACCATGTTTTGTTAATTCAAATAGTGACAGTAAGACCCCTATGAATGCTGTTTAGATCAATCAAAAACTAACACTATCACATTATGAGTTATAGCCAAAGTAATGTTATAAAGCATGTCATTTAGATTTTATTTAAAAATAAAATGCAAAATCTACTTGATATTCAGCACAATCAAATGAGAGATGAGTTGAAATGACTGCTGCCAAGGAAACAAGAAAACCTCTATCATTTATGAGTGAACTTGAGAAAGAGCACATATGAGAAAAGTGTATCACCCCTAAAGCCTTTTCAAACACAGCACATCGATCCAGACCTTTTTCTTGTACAAGATAATGAGCTACAACTCCATCTGTTGAAATAATCACAGATACACTAAACTATATAATTCTGTAAAATATGCAGTTTGTCTATGGTTGAAGTAATGACAGAATGATTTAGGACGTTACTGCTCCGGCTTTGGTAAAGTCTGCAATGGTTTGAGAGCGCTTACAGCAGAGAAATCTCCTGCGAGGCGAGGACAGCACAGACTCTCTGATTGGTAATTAACGCTGGTGTTGTGAATGGCAGCAGTAATTACAGGTGCTGCCGAGTCCACAGACTGAGCCGAAAAGAAGTGCAGAGACTGAGAGAGGCGGTTTTCAAGACACAAGACATTTACAGACTGGAGATTGGGGGGAAAGGCGGTTGTTACTTTAACCGTTTTGGAAATGTCAAATTAATTATCCACAAAATGAGTAAACAAAGAATAATTCATATATTTTACTTAAATGTGATGACAGCAGCTTAAATTGTATTTCATAAATGACTGTATATTTTTGACCATGGGACACTGTACTAATATGTACAGTAACAACCATAATATATTTGAAGATATTTTGGAGGAGAACATAAATGGTGCAGGGTCCTCAAGGATGTGATTATATCGACCAATCAGAAGGCTGCGGGGGTAAACAGGGGCGGGTCTACTCAGTACTTGTCTTCAAAAAGTGTCACTCTTTCTTCATAATTTGTAAAGCAACTGACATCCACTTTCCTCCAGAATTTTCCCTTTAAGAGTTGACAACGTTAAAGCTGGGGTACGCAGAATGTAATCAAATACATTTAAGCAGTTTGGTTCTATCACTACTTTTCATTATTATGAGTCCTCTGTCAAAGCTTTAGATCAACCACAACGTATCTAAAAATAAAACTATTTCTAACTAGATGACAGCATGTTTTGGCATAATATGTTCACCAAATTTTTACATGTATATTAGAAAATTATTTCTGTAGGGACAAACACAAAGAATGGATGTAAAACCAAAGCTAACTATATCTAATTAGACAAACTATCAGAAGGCATTTCCAGATCTTCAGCCAACAATCAGAATGACATCTCTCAAAAAATAACCCAAAAAGTTTTGTAAACGGGTGGGACGAGAGTGACTGCAAGAATTACTGACCAAAACAACGGCCAGAGAATATTTCATTAAAAATAATACTAAATCATAGTCTATAATATAGTCAGCAAAACACACCCACACAACACGTCAAACCAACAGGAACAGACATATGTATCATTTGTTTGAATATTTAGGGTTAATCAGATGTTTTTCTCTTTAACATGGGATTAATTTCTCTCACCCTATTGTTGTAAATGCCAAAAATAACCGTTGTCAACATAAGGCACATTTTCCCAGCCTGTGTGCCATGTGAGGACGTGGAAACACAGAGAGGTGTCGAATGGGTCACAGAACTAAACCTGATCAACGGTTAAGGCATAGAAGCTCACATCCTGCTTAAAGGGAATTTAAATTGATGCTGGAGGAAAATACATGAACCAAATTTAGTATCAAATAAAAACCCAATTGGGAAAAAAAGCTGTGCCTTGTTCCTGTCAATTAAAAACATTATGCAACAGCTCACATTTCTCAGCAAATAATGTTATTATTCACAACGTAGAAGTATCTGAGCTAATGGTGTTTTCTGCAACCATGATGTTTACTCTCACACAATGCCTTTGTCGTAGCATCTCAGCGCTATCTCTGTCTGCGGAGCAACAATTGTAACATACCAACCACGCCAAACAATGAGGAAGGAAGGCATTTCACTTTTGGCCTAAATTGAAGTGTCTGGAATTTGCGAGCCTGATTTTCTTTCTTCCATCTGAGGCTCACTGTTTACGATGACAAAAAATCACAGACTAAACATTTGGATTAAGAGGTTTGAATCAATATAATATGTCAACTATTGCACAAACTACATGTGTAATTAAACATTTGTGGTGGTCGATTGTAAAGGCTTATTTCAGGCCATGTTTGGAAATATACCAGGTGTAATCCATACATAAAACTTAACTTTGCATAATCAATGAACTAGGACATGTTTAGAGGTTATTCTATAATGCCTGTATGGATGGTTTGTTTAAAGCCTTTGCATCTTGTGTATTTGTTTTCTTTTCATCATGGAGATAGTACAATTTACAATACAATACAATTTATTCTTGTATAGCCCTAGGTCACAACAGAAGTAATCTCAGAGGACTTAACAAAACCATTGAAATCACCAACACAGGTCAGAGAATCAACAGTTAAAACACATGAAGAATATAAAGCACACACAGAAGAAAATGTCCATACATGTTGTAGAATGCTAAAGTGTCCTGATCATCACCAATCCTTTCTGTTGGACACTAACTGTCCAACAAGACCCTCCTGCATCGACAAGGAAAAACTCTTAAAAAACCCAGTGGGAAAAAGTGAGAAACCTTGGAGGAGAACTAGGGAAACCCACAGGGAGGGAGACCCATATGAGAAAGGGATCCGCTCCTCCGGACGGACAGGCTAATGATCCAGGACCTAAGCTAGCTACAGAACGTGGACCAGTGGCCGCTGAACGTGGACAGGTCCGGTGCAGGACCGAAGCACTCCCAGGCGGGTCGGGCGGGGCAGTCCGCAGGTGTAGATGGAGGAGGCCAGGCTCAGGGATCCCGTCATCGTACCATGAAGTTTGGGTTCTGCTTTTGTATATCTTTTGTATATTTTTTGAACGAATCGTTACAAATTACTTTTTGGGGTCTTGTTTAGAGTCAGATAAAGTTGTTTTTCTGAGGTATACCATGCCATGGAACTAGCATACTGACTGGATGGGATGAGGTTAAGGCCCAAAGCTGAAATACCAGCCCGCTACCGCTCTTAACCAAATGGATAATAGCAGGCGCTAGTATGAAGGCCATGGAAGAATTAGGGTTATTATTGGCCGATCAATCAGACTTATCGATGAGCTGTCCCGTTTATAAGCGTTTCTGTTTGCAGCTCACGTGTTCCTTTTGTCAGGTCCGGACCATTAATGGCAGAATAAATGATTTTTGTAGCTATGTTAAAGAAAAAAAAGTGTATCTATCTATTTAACCACTTTTTATTATGTCAAAAGCGATCAATCTGATCAATAAAGACATTTCATTAACATTTAATCATCCATAATGCCACCTTTTGTGACCCCACATCATTATTGATTCTGGGACACTTAACACTATAATTAAGGTTCTGGCAGGTTCTCTGGTTACACCACATCATCTGTAAAGACCTATATTGTTTAACATTGGCTTTATTATCTTGTGCTGAAGGAAAACCCTCCAAGTTTCCACACGTAGTGAGAAGAGAAGAAGTAGTGATTTAACATGGGTTGATGCTGGTGGATGTGTTGAGATGAGTTTGAAAGCTCCTGTCACTGGCAGCTCATTAGATTTCCACAGACTGTGACTAAAGAGCTCCACACTGGCACCACTCGAATCTGACAGAACCACTTCCACCACCCGCACTGCCCACACAACACATCGGCCCGGCGTTCTGTGGGCCTGCGTCACACAAGACACTCCACACAGCAAAGTACAAGTGCAGCAGCTGTGATGCAATAAAAGAGACCATTAATAGACTTGGCTAACCCTAAGTTTAAGACAATAGAGCAATAAGTGCGACACCTCACACATTTCCACTTTCATTACTGCAATATTTTCAACATTTGAATTGAGATCTTCATTGACTTCCTGTGGAGAAAGTAAGCAGTGAGTAATGTGTATTTATATAGTGTATTTACAGAATTGTATAGAGCACTTATCTCCATCAGCTGACCACAAAGACCCAACTGACTTTTGCCTTCACAAAAATCAATCAGACAATACAAAATCTGTCCCTGATCCTTCTTCAGGATCAGACTTTAAAAGTGCAGGAAGTTCCCCAATTATAATTTGCAGCAATCTGACATTTGATAACGTGATGGCAGATAGTGGAAACAGGTTCAGTCTTCTTCTCAGTCTGTTTCTTATCCCACCTTCTTTACTTTGGATCCGCTTTAGTTTGTATTTGCATCACTGCTTTCTTACATTTCTTGATTTAAATTAAATTATTGAGCAACTGGGAGTTATTTTGTCATTGATCAGTCATATTTTTTTAACTTGAAAAGTACTTTTTTAAGGTTGATACCAACGTTTTACATTACGTGGTAAGACAGACAAACACCAAAGAACATGCCTGCATTTGTATTTGGTTGTTGTGCGAAGGGCCCCTGCCTGGATTTATAGAGGCCCTCGCTGTCACATGGGCGCTGTACCTCACCACGCTACAGGAAGCCGAGCAGCAGCAGTCCATATAAGGCGCTTAAACAAATGCAGTCTTTGGCAGAGAATTGCTTGGGGCTTTGGGGTTTACTTTCGAAGTCGCACAAAAGCTGAAGGAGCTTAACAGAGGACCTTTAAAGGTTGATATAAAATCAATACTTTTAGGCAGCGCTGCTAGAATAACACGACTAACTGTGGCAGCGCACACAGAGCTGCTTGTAAGAGGGTTATCAGGAAGCTTAAGGAAGGCCACTTTGGGTCAATACAGAGACTCATTCAGACTCCCACACAAGCTTGTCCAGCACATGATGCAGCTGAATGAATAGAAGAGCCGAGCAGAAGGGAAGACGCACACATCATTAATGGAGCAGACAGGAGGTGAGCAGGTACCAGGAGGCATGATGAGTTCAATAAGTCACAGTATTCAGTATTCAGTCCAGTCTAAACTGAGCAGGAGACAGATTATCACTCATCACGGCTCGCAGGTATTTTCTTGTATGCAAATAATGGGCCTGTTTGCAAGACGAAAAATCTGACAAAACTCACAATGGGCGGCACCGTGAGTGAGCAGGTCCTTCGAATACCGGTCTGAATAGGGTCTTTCTGAATGGAGTTTGCATGCTCTCCCTGTGTCATTTCTGGTTTCCTCTAGATCAGGGGTGTCAAACTTATTTTGGTTGAGGGCCGAATAAAAAATGAAAGGGCTTGTCAGGGGCCGAACGAATAAGTGGGTTTCATTTATTATCCTTTTTCATAATAGGAAGGTATCTATATAAATGACTTGTTTCACATTAGATAGAATAGATATTCTTTCAATATCCAATCTATATTGGCAGTGGCTCAGTTGGTAGAGCATCAGCCTTTGAGCCTGAAGGTCGTAGTTTCAAATCCACCACGAGACCTACTTCATGACTCCCACTGATGTCTGCTGTTGGTATGTCCTTGGGCAAGACACTTAACCCCACTTTGCCTGAAGCCTGTGGACTCACCACCTGCAGGAGGATCAGTGAGGGGCTGGTGCTAAGTGTACTGGGTGCAGCTCTGACTGCCATCCCCCTGACCCAGAAATAGATTAAGGGGAAGAAAATGGATGGATGGATATTCTTTCAGTCACTGTGGCCTGAAACCAAAACTGGACCAAATATTGAAGGTATATAGGAAGATTTTCTTCTTCCGGGTGGATCATCAAGACTATTGCTCCTCCCAATTGTCAATCATTCTGGTGATACGTGCTCGTCAAATAAGACCAGAGTGTTTTGTTCAAAAAGTGGAGAGGGCGGTTCTTTCCTAAGAAAATTGGGAAATCCTCCTTCATACCTTTGAGAAGAAATGTAATTGAAGACTCGCAAAAAAACAAATCATAACAATACTAACTTCTAATTACATGTTGGCTTAACATTTCTTATGGAACTACATTTTATGGTTGTTTTCAGGGCTGGGCGATATGGCAAAAAAAAAAAATCTCCGATTTTTTCACACCAAATCCGATTTTCGATTTTAATCGATTTATTTTTTTCTATTTAAAAACAAACTACAACTGACAAAGAAATAGATTTTCCTTTATGCAGTTCGATCTAAATCCCCATGGAGCATAAGTGTAACAGGAATTAAGCCTTAAAACATGCTTGTAAACGAGATGGCTCTGCCATTGTAAACAGTGAAAATGTAGCTTAACAGTTTTATAATAACTTCACTTACAATGACACTATGCACCTTCAAAATAACTTAAATCACACAAACAAGGCCCATCGCAAATATATCAATCCTATTAAACACATGCATTATTTACATGAAATATCACATTTTTAAAACTGATTACTCAAAATAGAAATGTTGTAACAGACAGTCTTTTCCAAAAGCCTCCTCGGGTTTTCATGCTTGTTCTTTCAACTGTGCCTGAGTAACTGTGCTGTAGTACAACGCTCGGTCCAGCTGGTGGCGCTAATACTAACTTCAGTGACTCCCGCATTGTCCGAGCTTCCTGTTTACATTCTGATGCTGTAGCTAACAGCTACTGTAGCAGCTACTGTAGCTAACAGCTACTGTAACAGCTACTGTAGCTAACAGCTACTGTAGCTAACAGACAGCGGGGAACACGTTGTTTGTATCAGAGCAATGAGAGCAATGTGTGAGACGTGTCTTTCCCCAAAGTGCAGCGGCTCAGTGGGACACGAGTGTGTGCGCGCCACGGACACGGGAGTGCGCTTTGGAATAACGAGCGTGAGAGAGCGTGAAAGATGTGGCGTACGAACATAGCGACCGGGGCTTGCGTGCGTGTGTGTGTGTGTTCTGGCGATTACATAAAGTCTGATTCTTGAACGTTTGAAGTGTTATTGCAACAGCACCAACTGTGAGAGCGAGCATCAGGCCAGAGGGAGACTGTTAGCATTAGGTTAGCTTCAAAATGACTGCTCAACACCATAGACCCGCGGTTAGCGCGTTAGCGCTGTAGTTCTGCGATGGAGAAAATAAAAATCGAATTTTTAAAAAAAGAAATCGCCCTAAATGTAAAACTCGAATTAATGATTAAAATCGATTAATCGCCCAGCCCTAGTTGTTTTATTGAGAAAATTTGTAATGGATTAGTAACAAGCGCTTATCGCCTATTACATCAATGCTGCTATTTAATATAATAATTTAAAATCATCTCAGGGGCCACTGGAAATGGTCTCGCGGGCCGGATCTGGCCCCCGGGCCTTGACTTTGACACCTATGCTCTAGATGTTCCGGTTTCCCCTACTACTAAAAACATGTGGAATAGGTCTGACATACTGTATTGCGACCACTACTCTCTCGGTGTGGAGTGAGAGACAAATGCCCACAACAATTGTAAAGCGCTTTGCCTTTGGTCTGTGAAGGCGCTAAATAAACAAAGATTACTTACTTACTACACACACATGTTTTCTACACCCCCCCCTCCCTGCTTGATTGACTGTGATGTAGAGGCTTATGGAAGTTGTTGTTTCCTCAAGGCCACGGTTTTCCTTCAGGTGTGTCAAATGTCTCGCGACCCTTTCTCTCACAAATTCAAACTTGTCAAATCAAGACTTGAGGAAGGAAAAAAAGCCACAATACATATGTAAAGTTTGTGGAGCATAACAAACGACGATACGGTTCAATAGTTATGGATCACAGGGTTGATATTTAGTGCAAAAAAAGCAAATCTCTCACAGTTGTGTAGTCTGCCCTCATCCTGAGCCAAGGCTGATGTAGAGTCTGACGAAAATACATGGCCAAATAAAGCTGCTTATTATGAATTTAAAACGGCTTATGTAAGTGTGTACAGAGTTACACAAAGGCCCATTTCAGGACAGTAGAAGCCCAGACTGAAGAAAATCCGGAACACTGTCCAACTGTTGAGACACTTGCCTTAGTTGGCTTGTCGGTTTTGATTATGTGATGTATAGCAATGCAAAACTATATAGACTCAATCCTCAACTCTTCACCCTCGGTTGTGATTCAGGATCAAATTGTGTGTCCATGCACCCATACAAGGTAGTGGGTCAATGAACAAGATTATTATTTTGGTTCATGTTGTCATTGTTTGGAACTGCAGGATTAAAACAAGGCTGGATTTCTTTCAGGGGTTTTGAGGGGTTGGACGCTCCACTTTTCTGGAGTTTCCCGCGGGGAGAGGCGGCGAGCGGGGGTGGCCATTCTCATTGCCCCCCATCTCAGCCGCCACGTGTTGGAGTTCTCCCCGGTGAATGAGAGGGTCGCGTCCCTCCGCCTCCGGGTGGGGGACAAGTCTCTGACTGTTGTGACGGCCTACGGGCCTAACGGTAGTGCAGAGTACCCGGCCTTCTTGGAGTCCTTGGGAGGGGTACTGGATAGTGCACCGCCCGGGGACTCCGTTATTCTCCTGGGGGACTTCAACGCCCATGTGGGAAATGCCAGTGACACTTGGAGAGGGGTGATCGGGAAGAACGGCCCCCCTGATCTGAACCCGAGCGGTGTTCAGTTGTTGGACTTCTGTGCCAGTCACGGCCTGTCCATCACGAACACCATGTTCGAGCACAAGGGTGTCCATCAGTGCACGTGGCACTAGGACACCCTAGGCCGGAGGTCGATGATCGACTTTGTTGTCGTATCATCTGACCTTCGACCGCGTGTCTCGGACACTCGGGTGAAGAGAGGGGCGGAGCTGTCAACCGATCATCACCTGGTCGTGAGTTGGATCCGCTGGCAGGGCAGGAGGCCGGTCAGACCTGGCAGGCCCAAGCGTGTAGTGAGGGTTTGCTGGGAACGTCTTGCTGAGCCCCCTGTCAGACGGACTTTCAACTCACACCTCCGGGAGAGCTTCTCCCAGGTCCCGGCGGAGGAGGGGGACATCGAGTCTGAGTGGACCATGTTCTCTTCCTCTATCGCCAATGCTGCGGCTCGTAGCTGTGGTCGCAAGGTCTCTGGTGCTGGTCCCGGCGGCAATCCCCGAACCCGGTGGTGGACACCGGCAGTAAGAGATGCCGTCAGGCTGAAGAAGGAGTCCTATCGAGCAATGATGGTTCGTGGGACTCCTGAGGCAGCTGTCCAGTACCGGCAGGCCAAACGTGCCGCGGCCCGGGCTGTTGCAGAGGCAAAAACCCGGGACTGGGAGGAGTTCGGAGAGTCCATGGAGCATAACTATCGGTCGGCCTCGAAGAGGTTCTGGCAAACCGTCCGGCGCCTCAGGAGGGGAAAGCAGTTCTTTGCCAACACCGTGTATGGTGCGGGTGGAGGGCTGCTGACCTCGACTGGGGATATTGTCGGGCGGTGGAAAGAATACTTCGAGGTTCTCCTCAATCCCCCCGCCACGTCCTCCGTCCAGGAGGCAGAGGCTGAGGATGTTGGGGCGGACACTTCTATCTCCCTGGCCGAGGTCACCAAGGTGGTTGGCAGCCTCCATGGTGGCAAGGCGCCGGGAGTGGATGAGATCCGTCCTGACTATCTAAAGTCTCTGGATGTTGTGCTGTCTTGGCTGACACGTCTCTGCAGCATCGCGTGGCGATCGGGGGCGGTGCCAATGGAGTGGCAGACCGGGGTGGTGGTCCCTCT